TCCTTGGCCACTCTCACGACCCCAGATGTGGGAAGCGCTTCAGCAGCACTGGCCCAGATGCTCACATGTGCGTCTATCCCGGCCCTCCACAAACCCTCCAGGGAGCTCGGTTCTTACATCCCAGGGATTCCGCTTACACTCAGCTCTGACTTTTGTTAATGAGTCAGAACCTAACTCCCACCAGTCCTGGTTTGGCTCCAAAGTTACACAAACATTCCATTTTCTGAGTAAGTATCAGGATTGGCTTTTCTAGCACAAAAAACATTTATATTATTACAAACTAAAAGATCCTGAAAACTGATATTAAAAAAAAATTTTTTTTGTAGTGGTAGGAATTGAACCCAGGATCTCATGCATGCTGTCCACTAAACTACAACCTCTTATACACGCAAATCCATTTCTATAGCACTAAGAGGAAATAATGATAAAGTTACCAAACAATATTCAAAAGGCTTTCACCAGCAACTACGACCCTGAGAGACACTCCAGATAACCCAGCAAGTGCAGAAATTCTGCATGAAAGAGACCACAAACATGTTAGTACAAAACAAAACAAAACAAACAAAGACACTCCAGATAACCCAGCAAGTGCAGAAATTCTGCATGAAAGAGACCACAAACATGTTAGTAACATGTTAATTCTTCCCCAATTATTCAGCGTATTTAATAAAATTCTGAGTAGCCTTTTTTTTTTTTTTGTCAGTAATTGACAGATTTACTCCAAAAACGATTTCACAGTATAAACTCAGTGTCAATTTTGGAAAAGACAAAAGAAAAAAAGAGGGCTATGCCCATCTGTTCGCAAGACCTGCCAACAGCCCACAGTCACTGGCCTACGCTCATGGTCAGGACAGATGTGTGTGCTGATGGACCAGGAGGCTGGGTCCATGTAAAGACACACATGTGTAGCTGGCTGGATTTGCACAAAGGGACCACAGTGACTGCACAGAGCCATCTTCTCATTAATGGTACTGGAGCAAAGAAATCCCTATACGGAGAAAAACAAGCCTCAACTCCCTACTCGGCAGACTAGACTAAGCATCCCACTGCCTCGGGAGAGAAGGAAGTGCCGTGCGGTGTAGTGGGAGAGTCAAGAGGACACGGTGCCCCACGGTCCCTCTCCTAACCCCCCAGTTAACAGCTGATCATGAGAAAGACGCCAGACAGAGTCAGGCGAGCTGGCTCCTACTTGTAATCCTAGCACTTGGGAAGCTGAGGCTGGAGGATTGCCACGAGTTTGAGGCCCAGCCTGATGCTCTGTAATGAGTTCCAGGCTAGCCTGGGCTATAGAGACTCTGCCTCAAACAAACAAAAATAAAGAAAGAAATAAGTAAATAAACACACACACAGAGACAGAGAGAGAGAGAGAGAGAGAGAGAGATCAGGTAGGGGTTACTAAACAGATGATTCACAGCCCTGCCATAGAAGTCTGAGAACTGGGAGACCCCAGTCCTCGATGCAGTGTGAGAGAGTGGTTAGATCCTGGCACAGCTAAAGGACACCAGGGGAAACCATGCTGAAATCCATGCAGAGAATGGGGTTTAGTTAGTAATATAAAAGTAAAATATTTTTCTGCTCAGAGGAGGCCTGATTCATTTCTTATAATAAAAATATTTATGCTACAAGAAGTTAGAATCACATCTACTGTCCAGAGAACTGTATGACAGTTTATATGAGGAATGCCTCAAACACAAAATGTGCTAAAAACAACTGGTGCCCCCGTGACGTCACACCACAGACAAGAACGAGACTCTGACACACTGTCACACGTACCATTCGCTCTCTGTGGGCATTTCAAAATTCACCCTGTAGCACCAGTCTCCCCAAGACCTAAACTGAACTTCACAAAAGCAAGCCGACTTCAACTCCATCTCATGCATACACAAAGACCAACTCCAAATCTATCCCATGGGCTTGGATGCAGCTTGGTGGCAGGATGCTTGCCTAGCATGCACAAGGCCTGGGTTTCATACTCCGTTGCAGAAAAACAACAAAAAGCAAGAAACCAAGCAAACAAAAACAAATCCCTATGGAACTAAATACACACTAAAACTATAAAACTTCTAGAAAAAAGTATATGAGCAAACTTCCCAGCCAGGAGGTAAAATCAGGGGCAGGGGGAAAAGCTAGATCCTGGTTCAATTCCCAGAACCCGCATAGTGGCTCACACTGTCTGTAACCCCAGTTCCAGGGGACTGATGCCCTCTTCTGGCTTCTGGGGGCACTGCATGCATGTGGTACACATACATGCACGCAGGTAAGACACCCATACACATTCACATTTAAAAAATAAAAATAAATAAAAATCTAAAAAAAAAAAAAAAAGACTTTTTCAAAATTTAAAGCTTTTATGTGGTACAACCCTGTGCACTCCAGCACTAGGGAAGTGAGGAAAACAAGTCTCTGAGTTCAAGGCCATGTGGACGACATAGTGAGACCCTGACTCAAAAGACCAAGATCCAGAAACATGGTTCAGTTGTGGGATGCTTGCTTAGCCTGTATGAGTCCCTGGGTTTCACTCTCAGCACCAAAAGTAACAACAACAAAATCAAATAAACCAAACAAGCCCATCTGATCCTTGAAATTCACAAATCAGGAGATGAAAGGGATGCTTTGGACAAAGGAAGCATTTAGCGTATTTCTTTTTTTTTTTTCTTTTCATTTAGTGTATTTCTGACAAAGGGTGTGTGTGTGTGATGGTGTGTGAACTGCCAAGCTGACAGAATCTAGGATCACCTGGGAGTTGGGTCTCTTGATTACATAAACAGAGGCGGAAAGACACATTTTAACTGTGGGCAGGACGGTTCCCTGGGCAGGACGGTTCCCTGGGCAGGAGATTCTGCACCCTGGAGAAACGGAGCCTGGCACTGGCAAGCATGCATTCATCACCCCCTCTGTTCCCAGCCATGGATATGATGTGACCAGCTACTTCAAGCTCCCGCTGCCTTGACATCCCTGCCATGACGGACTGTGTAACCTTGAACTGTGAGCTGAAAGAAACCCTTTCTCCTACAATCGCTTTTGTCAGAGTGGCTTATCGGGGCAACAGGAATAGATGTTAAGTGTGAATCTTCATTACATCGCATCAAAAAGGCTTCACAGCTCCGTAAGCGCAGGAGCAGCAACTAAGAGTTACCCAAGAACTGACCAGAGAGGAGTCGTAAGAGGAATATAAAACAGACACCTTGCCAGGCGGTGGTGGCACACGCCTTTAATCCCAGCACTCGGGAGGCAGAGGCAGGTGAATTTCTGTGAGTTCGAGGCCAGTCTGGTCTACCAAGTGAGTTCCAGGACAGGCACCAAAACTACACAGAGAAACCCTGTCTCGAAAAACAAAACAAAACAAAACAAACAAACAACAACAACAACAAAAAAAAAACCAGACACCTCAAAGACACTCATGGTCAGTACTCGTTAGGGAATCCGTCAACTAAAACCACGGCACACTCCACTTCCACAGCCATCGGGACGAGTGTATTGAGTACAAAATGCTGACAGTACAGAGTGATAAGAAGGGAGCCAGCGCGAGTAGGAACCGGAAGTCCAAGATGGCACAGCCACGTCAGGAAAGGGAAGCGGCAGGTTTTGAGGGAGCTAAACTTGTACTTCACCTCATGACCCCACGGTCTCACTCAAGCCCCACCCCCCTCCTCTTTCACTCACAGCAGCTTGATTCATAAAAAAATGACCCAAATGTCCATTCAGAAATGAAGATCATAGGGTGCAGGTCGCCCGTTAGCAACCAACAGGCCCGATGGTCAGTGCTCACGACACCAATGGGTCTCGGGAGCATCGGGCTGAGTCACCCCCTGGGCCATTTCTTTCTGTGTGAAACTCTGGAGGGGGGCTGGGGAGAGGGCTTGCTGTGAAGCCTGAGGACCCGAGTCCCATTCCCAGAACCCACACAAAGAGCTGGGCATGACAGCACATGCACGCAATCCAGGGCTGGAGAGGCAGGGACAGGAGGGTCCCTGGGCTTCACTGGCCAGCCAGCCTAGCCTAGTCAGTAAGACCCAGGAGAATGGTAGACCTGTCTCAAGAAACAAGATGGAGCCGGGTGTTGGTGGCGCACGCCTTTAAGCCCAGCACTCAGGAGGCAGAGGCAGGTGGATCTCTGTGAGTTCGAGGCCAGCCTGGTCTATAGAGCAAGATCCAGGACAGGCACCAAAACAACACAGAGAAACCCTGTCTCGAAAAAACCAAAACCAAACCCAAACAAAACAAACAAACAAAAAAACAAAAAAACCCAAAAAACAAAAAAAAACAAGATGGACGCTCCTGAGGAAGGACATGACAGGAGATTGATGTCTGGTTTCTCTAGGTATGCACATAACCACAAATAAGAAAGACTTGCATCCCTCCCCCTAACACTTCATCCAAACTGTGGGAAACACATCTATTGGATGGTCTCCAAAAGTAAGCCAGCTGCCGGCGGAGCCAAAGCGACATGAGAAGATGTTCATGGGAACCTCAATGTCATCGATGCTGACAGCAGTGTGCAGAGTCTTCAAAACACATCCAGGTGCACGCTTAAATGGGAGTGCTTTATTACGCCGAAATCCCACACAAATGGAAGTGGTTTTTAAAAAATCCAAAAGGAAACAGGATTTTTACAAAATTCCATGCCTGGCTAAAGCACCTTGGGAAACCTGGTGGGCTGGAGGCCTGACTTGGCAGCTCACAGGAACGGAAGCGGGAGTGGGCCTGGGAACTGAGGTAGACCGAGGTGGAATGACACCCAGTATCTATCATGCTCTCTGGGTCAGGGTGGGAATCTCAGAACGGGGGGAACCTGGACAAGAACGTGAAGTTTCAGATTCTGCAGTGGGAGCAGCCTGCAGAATCAAACACTTAACCAACATGCATTCCATCACAGGGAAAGGCTGGAACCTTCTCTCTCTCTCT